CGGGGCCGCGCGCCGCCGCCCCGCACTGACTGCCGCGCCGTGCCCTGCGCCAGGCGGAGCGGAGGCCGCGCGCGGCCGGCCGAGCACCTTCAGGATGCTCATCAAGGAGTACCACATTCTGCTTCCCATGAGCCTGGACGAGTACCAGGTGGCCCAGCTCTACATGATCCAGGTGAGGGCGGGAGGCAGCAGGAGCCTGGGGGGGGGGGGGGGCACACTTCGTGATGGGGTAACGGCAGGAGCTCGCAGGCCGCACCTGGGACGAGGGGCCGGGCCGCCTCAACCCCACCCCACCCCCCCCACCCCCCAGCCCGGCTCTGGGGCCTGGAAGGACTCAGAGCCTATGGGAGGACAGAAAAGTCCCCCTTCCAGTGCGGGGAGGGGGGCGGCGGTGGGAAAAGGGACCCAAGGGCCTGGTGGTGCCTCCCCATCCCCCAAGTGCCCGGCCCGGCTGGCTGGTTGCCGCTCAGCCCACTTCTGATCTCCTTTAATCCTCCTTGGAATGTAACCCCTTTCGGGAGGGAAAGGAGCGGCTGAGGAGGCAAGAGTGAGAGGCAGGGAGCGAGGAGGGGTGCTGGGTGGTGGAGAAGACTGGAAGCGGGTCCCCAGGGGGTCCTGACAACCCCAGGGGGTCAGGGAAACGGGGTGAGGACCAGACCCCAAAACTGTGACAGAGAGGGGCAGGCAGGGATCCAAGAGGTAGGGGTCTGGACTCGGGCTGTGAGAAGCATGGGGCCGGGCAGGCTTTCAGGGGGAGAAGCGGGTGGGTGCAAGGCCTCAGGGAGGCCCCAGAAATGAGGGTCACGGTCTGAGGAGACAAGAGGGCCAGGATCCGGCCTCAGGGGGTTGAGTGGGCCAGGTTCAGGCTCCAGAGCTATAAAAGGGCCGTATCTGAGTGCTCTCAAGCTATAAGGGGTGTGGCAGGGGCCCATACTGGGGTCTCGGGGAGGGAGGGGACTGGGGTCAGGTTCTCGGAGGATCTCCCTGATTCTTCCAGCCCACCCTCCCTGGCCTCCTTGCTGCCCCCAGAGCACATGCCACACACTCCCACCCCAGGAGCCTGCACTGGCATCCCCTCTGCCTTGAATAGCTCCCCCCACCCCACATCTGCACTCCAC